TGCTGCCTACTGGATGTCCGTGGTTTACGAAGACTGGAGTTTTTGTAGGCCTTTGGTACCGTATCATTACTATATCATCTGGTCTGGTAATCTCAGTCGTCTCGTACACAAAGACTTTCCGCGCTTTCGGTCATCATCAGGTTGAAATACAAGATTATGTTCAACAACGGCTGAGCCAACCAAATGCACTGAACATGGCGTGATATAGAAAGGCAGTGTACAATGCACTGTGGGTGCAGTTAGCTTTAATTGTCCGTTATGTTCCACAGATTACAGTGAGAATTGTGATCTATCTTAGTGCAAAGAGATTTGGAGTTTCTTGTTAATCATTTGGAATGGCAATTGTCTTAATGTTCTTGAACTCTGCTTTAAACCCATTCCTTTAGTGCTGGAAGATAAGTGAAGTGAGACGAACAGTAAAGCAGACAATCAGACAAGCAATCTGCTATGCAGAGGGGTAGACCTATTCTAACGTTCGCATCTACTGTTTCTTCTAGAACTTACTTGGAAGTTGTGATGTCTTTGAGGTTAACTCGATTATCGATGTTTCAGTTTTCTTTAACTCGGCTTTTCTTTGTTGCTATTTTAAAAGCACACTTATTACCAAACTCGAATACGTGACGTCACAGGCCGTGAGAACAAAGCTGGTCTTATGAGAAAACACTCTCTCATTTCATGACAATCGAGTGCGAAAGCTGCTGACACGCGCTCTTGAGTACCTACCAGTGCTCCTAATTAAAAAGGTTTGTATGACAGCTCACCACTTCAAGTATTATTCCCGCGCATAAATTTCATCCGATGGTCAAAAAATGATTTATGTCATTAAAATTCTGGAAAAAAAAAGAAAGTATAATGGAAGGATTAAGACTTTGGTTTATAAACTACTAAGCTCTAACTTCTTTTATGTGGTTTCCTTTAACATTTCCCTTTCATCCTCGGGACTGTTACGAATATCACGGAATGAATAAAAGGTTATATGCAAATTGTTGATGAGTAAATAATATGAAAAAGTTGACGTTGCTATAAAGGTCATAAATAAAGGTATGTTTCGTAGATAAAAACAGAATCATATAAATTCGGTCAGTGATGTTTAAAAGTTCAAAATTATTAACCAGGATCGACTGATTTCCGACCGCAATTTCTAGATATGGTAGAATTTTGTTTTAAAATACTCCAGAAAATTTTGAAATGCTCCTTTATTTGAGTCGTGAGCTAAACCAGGGAAGCTATGCTGAAACTAATCTTGAAACAGATTATGATGAAATGATGTAGAATGTCCCAGGCTGTTTAGCAGAGCTCATATTTAGTTTCTGTTGTTATCACTAACCTTTTCTAGGCGTTCATATAGTAAAACGGAGTGAAATGGTACACGACACGATAGCAGCGGTGGAGTGAAAAAACGGGGGATAATTGGGTCGGGTCGTGTCGTGTCGGATTG